CATGCCGTGTAGTGGAAGTACAAATTTTCATCAAAAATCGTTAAATTATCTTTAGCGAATTAGCAGTTACGGACAAACAAAGACCTTATTTGAATTTTTGACCTTGAATTGTGACCTTGACCTTGGAGCTCAGCTGATGAAAAGTGCAGGTGACACTCCATCTACTGATGATGCATATGTGTATGAAGGTCCATTGAATTAACTTGAGCGAAGCAGAAGTTACGGGCAGGACAAAAGAAAGTTTTAGAACACACTTACAAATGGACAGATACTATAATTAAAAATGTCCGACTTGTCACACGTGTCCTACAGAACCTTGTTTTGCCCACCCAGAAACAGACACAAGGTCTGTCTCTGACCAGACAAAGATTTGTTTTGAAATATATTTCTATCAGTATTATAATTGTTATGTTACTGAAAGTTGTGTACACCTACGGTCTGCAGTATAAATGCATATTAAACTGATGCAGAACCTTTATTTCCGGGTTTTTGTTTCCGGTAGGAAGGAGTTTTAGTTACACGCCTGCACTCTGCAACAAGCCTGACACTTGACTGTTTACATCAAGGATGGAAGTATTACTGGCTGAGAGGCTGGTCACGTGGTAAGAGTAGGCTGTCCTATGAGTGGAGATGATGACACCAACGGGTGTGACCAGTTTCTGAAGAAAAGTGTGTCGCGCTCTAATGGGGGGTGTTCGGTTGAAATGGGCAGACGTCATGTGAGTTGTGATTTTCACTTATCTGTACAATAAACCTGCAATAACACTGTGCACATTTGTTTCAGAGCCCACTTCAGACCTTTGAATAAAGTAACAGTTTCATCTGCTCAAAGATGAGCAGTCCCGGAAACAACCCCTTGTTTGGAGTTGTTTACTGCTTGCTTGTATATTTTAGACACCACAGTATCATCAGTCTAAACCAGTTATGACCTGGTCAGGTCTACACATTGTCCACTACTGATCCAATCAGGTTGACTCCACCCCAGGCTAAGGGCAGAGTTTGGAGTTGAAGAAAGCCGAGCTTCTTCGGGATTTCAGGGCTTCGTGGTGGGTAGGATGGAGCCTCAGCTCTCAGTGCTGAGTCCTGTAACTTTTACCTGCCTTAAAAGAAATTAAATGGTAAAACTTTATTCTTCACAGTCGTTATTCGTGATGGCACAAGTCTTCTCTCCACCTGGGAATAAAAGAGCCAGCTTTAAACGCCGTGGTCGAACGGCGACAGTCTTTTGACATGCAGGCGTGTTATAAAACATATATGAAAATTCCGTTTTGCAAACAACAACAATGCATTTACCAGTCCAGTGTTTCCCCTAGTTTACTTGCCTTGGCAGGGCACTCATATTTTCGGGGGGGGGGGGGGGGGGTCGCTCAGTGTGAGGGAAATGGAGCACTACCTCTGTAGCCAGGGTTTAATTTGTAAACCAATCAATGCCGGAACGCAAATTGCGGGCGGGGGTGTGGGTGGTGCAGTGGGATCTATGGGTCATCCCCCAGAGATTTTTGAATAAAGTAGATGCCATTTCCTGCTTCATTTTAGTGTATTTTAATAAGGTTTTAAACATTTATGTTTACCTATATAAGTAAACACTTGATTCAGTAACTATTTTTAACAACAGCAGCTCTCTCCTTCTGTGTCAATGTGTGTTCAACTGTGTGTTTGTGTGTGTGTGTGTGTGTGGGGGGGGGGGGGGGGGGGGGGGCTTGTCTTCATATAACCGGAGCGGCTCTGTGTAATAAAAATGCACAACAACTTTGGACTTTTAGAGGTGGAGATTTGAGTTACTTGATCTGAGCAAACAGTTGACGGAATGCACCCTGTCAAAATAAGAGTTTCCAGATCCTGTTCCGGCAGGATCCAGCTCAAATTACGCCCAGTCCGTAGCTTTTTAGCTAGCGTGTCTGTATTGCGCACCGTTTGCTTAAGCTTAGTGCTACGTCAGTGCCGGCAGTTGTTGACAGGGCGGGGCGCCCTGCTTGGTGGTGGTGGAATCTGCACTTACACACAAAATTAGTTTTTCTTTGTCTTCTTTTACGACCAGAGCAAAAGCTCCAACAGCGTTTCTGGTGTGTTTTGAGGGGACACAATTGAAAACAGAAGCCTGGGGGTGCAGCAGTATTCCAGTAGATTAATAAGCTTCATTACATTCCCCATGCAACTGTGCCAGAGGTATTCATACTCACTGACAGTAAAATTTAAGAGTTTTGCTTAACTCAAGCTTTTTACTGAAGATAAAATGGGTTTCCAAATTGGCACTTCACACACTATTAATTCTCTAAAGCCACTTAATCCAAATAATACCGTTAACATCTTGATAATTGATGGCACATTAAAGCAGGAAGAATGGTATTAAAGGAAAACACCAAACCTGGAGGATTTTTCTTCAATAATGCTACATTTAACAGTTCAGAGAAACCAAACAAAGCAACAGAAAATACATGTTTTTTGCACTATGTTGCTGATATACTCATAACTGATCTGTACAACACAGCCAGTGAGTCATTTGTGCAAGATGTACACAAGCAGAAATGGGGTTGAAAACTCAATTGACTCAATTTTCCCATGTAAATTAATAATGGCGTGTAAATAAACTCTGAACGAACGATTTTAAGAATTTAACTTCTGTTGTGCACTTCATTTTCTGCCTGATAATCCGTTAGCCAACCTGGATATAAATGCAGTGCAGAAAGGCAGTCAGTTAAACACAATGTAGTGACGCAGGAGCAGCGTCTGACTTGTTCACATTTACCGGTGCCTTCAAATGAGATCATGTTTGCTGTGTTCCCACGAGGAGTCATCTCATTTGTGGCATTCATTGCTTAGTATGTTGGGTATTTCCTGTCAGGTTTAAGCTCACACGTTGTCTGCATGACTTGATCTGTTTGAAGGCATCATGTCTGCCCAGAGTCCTACAGCACCATGGCTTTAAAGAGGTAATTCTGATTTTTTTTTTTTTTTTCTGAAGTGGCTGGAGTGTAGTTGTTATCAGTAATCAGGATCTTACTTAGTATCTTAGTAGACGTCGCTTGGAGCGTTGTTCGTTTGGACAATCGGGCAGAAGTTTTCTCAGGAGAGATGACCTAACGACTAGCCCGAGTCCATTTTAGTTCCAAAGTAGATTTGTTAAAACAGCTCCAATCCTAAAAACGTCATTGTGGTTCACATCAACACTATTTTGAAAACCTTTATGCCATCATCTCTTTTACATTAGACAGGTATTTATGTAGTATTTTACACTGAAGACTGAGTCATCTGTGGTCTATATACATTTATGATTCTTGTGTGTGTGTTAAGTGTTAAGTGCAACCAGTGTGAAAAGTCATCCATTCATCCATTTTCTTATCCTCTCCAGGTCACAGAGGTCCCTGGTGCCCATATCCAGCAGTCAGTGTGCAAGAAGTGAGGGACACCCTGGACAGGTCTCCAGTCCATCACAGGGACACATCGAGCCAAACGACCATTCACTCTCTCACTCACACCTAGAGACAATTTAGAGTTACCAATTAGTCTATCAGGGTGGCATGGTGGCTCAGTTAGAAGAGTTGCCGCCTCTCAGCGAGAAGGTCGACAGATTGAATCCTGGCCGGGGGGGACCATTCTGGGTGGAGTTTGCATGTTCTCTCCTTGCATGCGTGGGTTTTCTCCGGGTACTCCGGTTTCCTCCCACAGACCAAAAACTTGGTAACTCTAAATTGTCCCTAGGTGAGAGTGAGTGAGTGAATAGTTGTTTGTCTTATTGGTCTCTATGTGTCCCTGTGATGGACTGGAGATCTGTCCAGGGTGTCCCTTGCCTCTCACACAGTGATGGCTAGACATGGACACCAGTGACCCCTGTGACCTGAAATGGAAGAAGCGGTTAAAGATAATGGATGGATGAATCAGCCTATTCTGCATGTTTTTGGTCTGTGGGAGGAAACCCATGCATGCACGGAGAGAAGATGCAATTTCCACCCAGAAAGGCCCCCAACTAGGATTCAGTCCGGCAACCTTCTCGTTGAGAGGAAACACCTTTACCAACTGCGCCACTGTGCCGCATGCAAAGAAACTAGCAGGTGGTAATGTATGTCAGTGTAAAAATGAATAAAATAAAATTTGACTACTGTTTAAAATGTTTTTATCAGGTAGTTTGACTTTCAGGTTGCACTTGATATGTTTCATTGTCCAACAAAAGTTTCAACTGAACTGTTACTGGTAAAAGACGAGAGAACGAAGGTGCTTAAAAACAACAGATATCTGCTTTTAAATTGAAACGGACTCAAACTGATTGCCTCCCCTGAGAGAATCTCCTCCTGTTAGTTCAGACCAATAAGACTTTAATAGTACTTGATAAAACTTTTACTCCAAATAAGATATTTATTTCTGATCAAATAAAATAAAAACTCCACAGAACACCACTTCAAATAAAAAACTATACCTTTGAGTTCCCTGGTTTGGCCATGAAAATGTATGGTGTCTTCTGTTTATACTTGAAAGTTGGAAGTTTAAAGAAGGAAAGAAACTGGAGCAACTCTGAAAACAAAAAGACTTAGAAATTCAGATATTTTTGTTTAACTCCAACTTTAAAATTCCAACTTGCATGTGAAAAGTGGTGATAGCCGCAGTATTGTAAATTTATTATTTTTATTTCTGTCAGTTTGTTTCTCATTAAATGAATTGCAGAGACAGGATTGCACTACTTTAAGTTGCAATGTTCAAATGCATAAAAGGCAAAGGAATACATTATCAGTGGCTGATAATGCTAACAATAGTTAGCATGGTTACTGAGCACAATTAGTAAATGCTGCAAGTTTTTACATCAGTGCAACTGGAACACAATTAAGTTGAGTGTGATGTCATTACCAAATCTGAGATCCGACGTGAAGCAAACAGTGCAATATTGGGACTAGCATCTTCATAAACCACAAGTGTAAATTTGGTTGACAGATGAAAGTATCACTTTAACAGGAAAATGAAGCACATTCTGAAAAGGCACTGGGTAAATCATGGCACATCCACTTGCTCAGTTACACACAAGTTTGTACATTTAACTCTGCTACGTTGTTGTTCGTTACAGCTGGCGAAGGCTTACTCTTCAGTCCCTCTGTGACACACCTGGAAGTTTCCATGAGCAGCAAACGTGGGATGCACAGAGCCAGAAGGATTGTCTTGTACTCCTTCCGAAAGTTTTGGTTTAGCAGTCCGTATATGATGGCATTGAGGCAGCTATTGAAGTATGCCATGAAATAGCTTGTGACAAAGAGCCACTCTGGTATATTTGGTGCAACTTTCACAGGGTTTATAGCTACAGCCAGGCCTATGAGGTTCAGTGGAGCCCAGCACACAGCAAACAACACAAACACCATAAACATTGTCAGGAAGTTCCTTACATCACTAGGTTTCAGCCTAGTCCTTTGATCAGGTTTGACTCGATGTTTCACTTGAATCACAAGTACCCATATCCTCATGTAGCAATAGGATACGACCAGCAGTGGAATCAGGAAGTGAATAACCACCACTGATATGGTGTAGTACGAGCTGACCGTCTGGGCGAAGGTACAGGAGTAGATGCGAGGGTCGTACTGTAGAGAACCAACAAAGAAGTTGGGCACTGTGGCGATGGCTGTGAGCAACCAAGTGAGGCCCAGGTAGCAGCAGGTGTTCCTCAGGCTGTACAGGCGGTCGTAGTGGAGGCTGTGGCAGATGTAACAGTAGCGGTTGATGGCAATGGCTGTGATGTTGAATATAGAGCCTATGACGCTGAGGCCCATGATGAAGCCACTGGCCTGACAGTGCAGGTCTCCCATGGTCCAGTCACTGTGGAAGATTGCTGTCAGGACCAAAGGGTACGGGTACAGTGCCACCACCAGGTCGGCTACAGACAAGCTCACCACGAAGATGTTGCCTGAAGGAACAAAAGAGGAAACAGATGGTTTGAAGATGCGCTTATTTTTTTCATGCCCACCTATTTGGTTTAACTCAGTAGAATAAAGATTGAACTGTATCATATGGTACTCCATTTCTCCTGGATCATCATACTATTTGTAACTATTGCTGCAGAGTTGTGTGTTTATTACACTAACTATATCAGTCAGTAAACCAAAGTGTCATTAATAGAGTCGGACAGATATATTGGTAGGGCCAATATTTTAGGCCAATATAGGTGTTTAGGGTCATTTAGGTGTTTGTGATATTTGTCCCATTAGGCGTTGACATGAACACTTCTAATTTTCACCCCTAAAATGCTGGGAACGAACAGTGTCTACTTGCAAATGGCGTAATTGTACAATGTATCCAGCAGAGGGCGCATGCAGACTACTTTTCATGCCATGGCCATGCACTTTCACTTTCAGCACAGCCCAAGCAGGGAGCAATACTCTCTAGCATATTTTGCTGAACAGAGCATGGTAAATTTATTGTAACTGGTTGGTAAAAATACATTTTTTTTTTTTTAAATCAACAATGATAAATTCTTTTCAATCCTCCAACCCACTTGTCATTAGCCACGTGCCTCTCAAGTTAGCAAGCTAACAATTAAATAACCTAGCATATTCTATTGCTCTGTAAAACCTTATCCAGAGCAATAAGTCTAATGCCAAGGTAAAATATATCAGCGTTAGTAACGTTATACTTGTTGTCCTCAATGAAATGCTTTGTCTTAAATCTTTACTTCTCTGCAAAGACAAAAAAATACCGCTGCTGTCAATACTAATTAGGTCTTCGCCATACGTGACTAACTGTATAAACACTGAACAGGGAAGGGCTTTTATATATATATATAT